GACGCAATCGTTAGAACTTCTCTCAATGGTCGGAACCCGTTGTGTTGGTGCTAATGATAGGACAGAATAAAGTGTTTAAACCAACCAATACTATTTTCTTGAAGTTTCTTCTAAATAGATTCTAGACCGTACGTCATATTCATAATGTTAAATGACACTTAACTTACGACCAAAGTGCCTCTAGTTTTGCCGGAAATACTTCTCTAAAGTTCGTGCTCAAAATTCCACTTTACTCGGTTCTTTCTTCCGACGATTTCACGCATCATAAAATGAAGAATCGTCGAAAATGATTGAGGGTAGACTGCCATGCTAAGATAGAAGGCCGTATTAACCTTCAGACGTTGCCATATTTACTTCAATTAAAAAAACGAATTTACTGGGAAAATTTTGAATACTTTTCTTCAAATTTGTCAGACAATTTTGTTCGCGCTGTAATCTAAAGTATCTGAAAATTTCAAAGAAAAATATGCATAACTTTCCTCAAATATTCATGTTTTATCTAGATAACTGTGGCAACTCTTTAACGTTCATACGACGTTTTTTTCTCGGCACGGTAGTAGATGAGTGGGGTCACTCAAAACAATCATAATTGTGAAGCTCAAACCGCTGTGCGCCCGAATCTCTAACCCCCCGACCTCCATATAATTTTTGGTAGACTTTAGTCTTCCAATAATGATAGCTTAGCCCGTTCTCAACAATGGACAACTGCTCCAAAAAAACGGCATCAAAAACTTAAGAGAAGCCAAGAAATTCTATATCCTCATTTCTGCGGTAACCTGGAGCTCGCAATATCCAAGCTCAACCTCGACTCGGAGTTCCAGCCACAGAAAATGCGGCAGGTGAGCTTGAGCTTGCACGAGAAGCCGCCATTTGAACGTGCATGAACCAGCGTCGCCATTTTGCTTAAAATTAGCCCATTTTTAGCGGCCAACACTCGGCTCATGTTCCGCAGGAAGTTGGCAACCGTCACAACGAGGAACTAGCCAGTAATCATCCGTCTTATCGCGGGGCTCCAGTATCCATTAAAATCTGCCTTTTCCCGCGCTGAGACGAGCGGGCTCTAAAAATCACGTTCGGGCATGGCAGTTCACCTGCCTTTCCAAATAGTGTTGCCATGTTTATGTTACACTTTTGCGCGTGTACTCCTCATCTATCAATCAAGATTCAGAGTAAAGTAATACACTGAAAGAAAAATCTCGGTGTATTTACTATAAGAAATGGGTAAAATTACCAAGCATTCAGGCTTCTATTTGAGTTAAAGTTTTTTCTTGGTAAAATTACCAATTATGGAATTGGTAATTTTCCGAGAAATCTCGGTAAAATTATTGAACTTTCTCGGTAATTTTACTGGACTTTGGTAAAAATGCCAATATTTTTTATCGACTGTGGTAAAATTACCGGGATAAAATGGCAAAGTTACCGGGAATTGATTACCAATAAAAGTGGTTTTCTTTCCTGAAAAAAAAACAGTAAAAATACCGGTTTTTAGGTAAGCTCACCAGTCTATCTTGGTGAAATTACCAATAATTGGTAAAAAAAAGTAAGATGGTAAAGGTACCAACGGACCTTGGTAAAAACGCCGAGAATTTTTTTCAGTGAAGTAAGCGAGTTTGTTTGTCTTTTTATTTATTTATCTATTTATTCAGCGTATAGGGCTACCATTGGATGCATACTTGAGTGAATTTTCTTATAAAACCAAGTATGGGATACCGAAAATCTAACTCTATAAAATGTCACAGATTTGAGAATGAATGGTCTCTGCATGCAATATCATGCTGTTCAGTGAGGCTAAGGTTCAAAATTGTTACTTGCGATTTCCGACAGAGTTGCAAATGACCTTTGCCTCTGTATTTGCGTCATAACATTTAATGAGGCAATTCTCCTCGGGTTTAAAGCCCCCTATTACAATCCATACCGTGTAATTTTTTTTCTCTCTTTTTTCTCTTTTTTTTTTGGGGGGGGGAGGGTTACACATGCATACGTACATTTAAGTTTGCTTTATACATTCGCTTTAGCGCTTCTTGGCGCTCTACAACACCTAACAGAAATTTAATATCTTTTTTATATTTTTACAATTCATTGGGCGATAAGTACACAAGTTTAATACGTTTTTAGACAAACTTTCCTCTCAATTTGTGTTTACAACTGTATACTCACAATAGCATACGCCAACGAAAAAATTTTGAAAAGTTGATTATTTTGTCAAGAAATGATTAGGTTTTTTTTATGGTTTATTTTAAATCAAAAACGCTGCGGTAAATAAAGTAGATAACACTCCAAAATACAAAAAAAAAATAGCTTTCTGAAAAAACACAATGCGTGTGAAATGCTTTTGAAACATTTTGAAAAGTAGCGAATGGCTTTTTAAGCGGATAGTAAACAGCGATAGAGCTCCTCTCTTATCAACCAGACAAATTAAAGTCACTCGAAGCTCCGCGGTTCTTGCAAGGTTCCCCTGGTAGACGTGAGATAAACCGGTGCTTTAATGGGCTTCCACCTCAGTCGGTCCATCATCATTACAGCGATTAACAAGATCGAAATCAGAGTAACTCAATATACTCTTATTCGCGACGTGGTGTAGAATAATAACCGAGTTTGTAGCCCTTTTACGAGCGAACATGTCAAGAGCAATTATTCCGAATGTAAATACCTGCATAAAGAAGAGGAACTACCCACCCAGGAAGGGCACCCATTTCTCCGCCCAGCAATTCAACGGTTTTAGCTGAGAATAATATCATTGAGGTGTTTACAAGTCTGCAAGTATGTGCTCAGAAAATCTGAACTGTTGTAGATGTGATAAGAATACTTCGAATTGAATTGAAAAATCGAATGCCCATAATTTATGCAATAAATGTAGCTCTTGAAATTGAATTGGTTTCTGTTAGACGGGCGTATCTCAAGAAATGCAGGAGCCATAGCGTCCTGCGAAAGCCAGGGCTCAAGAGTTTTTAGACTTACGGACGTCTCACGCCCATCCGACAAAAACCGATTCAATTACGGTAAATCATGGGCAAATCCATCAGGTTTTCTATCCGCACCGTTTTTTGAAGATTAACATACCATGCTTGGTCGGAACATTGAAACTGTCCTCCGGAAAAGTGAAACATTTGAAACTTTCAGGGTGTTTACAAGTCCGGAAAAAGTACTGATTTTTTAAGGGCGGTCTGGAGGAACAACTGAAAAAGTGCGGAAACGCTAGGAGTTCGGAATTTTGTTTTCATTTTTTTGGCATTTTTGTCGCAATTTGAGCGAGGAATTCAAATTTTCGAAATACTTCGAATTTCTTCAAATGGAGATACTGAAAAAGTACTGAATTTTTCTGTTGAGGAGTTACTGATTTTTCAGGAAATGTACTGAAAAAGTACTGTAAAAGTACTGATTTTTGGCCCGCCTGTTTTAGTAGACACCCGTACTTTTGAATTTAATATACGAGAAATTAATCATTCTCATTGAACACGAAAAAACTCAAAAGAAATACTTGCGATTTGTATCGGCTTACTCGATTCATGTAAAATCGTGCCCTCTTTTTCAGATTTCTTCTTAATTTCCTTGGTTTCCGAAGTCGAAGAAAACTGGTCGAGTTGCGCAACGGTCAGGGGTTCAGGGTAGGACCCCTTGATAAAGGACTGATTCAGTGACCGCGTCTTTCGACTTTCGGTTCCACCCGAAAAAATTGATTGTTTTGATATCGATCGGCGCGCTTTTAAGGGTGCCACACTCCACAATGTCGATGGACTCAGCAACGTAACCACTAAATCGGTCTATTATAAAACTCGAATTTAACTAATGCGTAATCGACCCTCACATTACAGTTCACAAAGCAGACTCCGTCGAGGACTTTTAAAAGGTTTCCTAGGAAAATATCATGTTCCTGTGTTATTTAACTCCTGTGCGGGCTTCTTTGACCCCTTCGTCGCCCTCCCCCTCACGAGTGCACCTACAATCGCCTCTTTTCTTCTACGTCAGCGTGTCAGCTGCTATACTCCCCGACAGCTAATCCATCTTTAATCAGTCGTCCATTATCAGAGCCTAGATGTTCCGATGGTTTTAGGTAGTAATCTCTCCGTTGTAGCCTCAATATTCCACTTCCGCGTTTTCTTAGCGCTCTCGCAAATACTGCTCGTGACCCAGTGGCGAGGCGTGAATGATCGATTATCGATATTTATCTATTTGAAGCTATGGCAAAGAATCGATTATTAAGGTATAACCTGTTTATCGATCCTTTTCAATTGGTTCAAATGGCTAATCAATTGATGTATCGTGAAGCACACCACGCCATTGTCGTGACCATGCCGTGACAAAATGGTTGATCAAACTAACTATCATGTAACTATCAAATCTATTAAGTCCATTAAAAATATCGATTGGGGCGAGGAAAGCTCGCCAAAAATCGATTGTTTTACATACATTTAAATGGAGGCAAAACAGTGTTGCCAACTTTCAAGTATCACCACTGCATCAAGCATAAAGTTGCAAAAAGGGTCGACTTCCGAGCTTCACCAGACACCTCTGCCAACCCGGCTTGGATACACGCTCAAACTGTCAATTTCCGATCAAAATGATGACAAAAATGGCGGTCAAATTTTTGCAGGCCGCAAAAATTTGATGGTCGATGGTGCGTACCAGTCACCATTTGATCGGAAATTGAAGCGTTTATCCAGGCCTCATAAGATTAGCAAACACTGGAAGAAAACACATTGGATCTAGAGTCCAGACTCTTGAAAACATTGACAAGAAAAAGGACTCTTGATTCAATCAGATTAAGCTTAAATCAAAAGGAAATCCGCTTAAATTAAGAGGCTTGGTTCTTGATTTAAGCTTAAATCTGATCGAATCAAGAGTATTTTTTCTCGTCGATGTTTTTAAGAGTCTGGATTCTAGATCCAACGTGTTTTTTTTCCAGTGAAGCGGGGTGCATGTAACCTATTGTCTCTGTTTGCTACAAAGCAACGTAACAGTTGTTGACCGATGAGGTAATTGCCGACGTTTGTGGGTTATAGTCGGGATCTCGTCCTGCTCATCGGTGTACTTCTCGGACCGGGATAGCGGGATATGCTCCTGGGAGGACCAGAATGCGCCTGCCCGCGCGCCCGAGGGCCGCCTTCCGGAAGCGCACAACTACAACATGGTCCTCGCGCGATCCGCCTACAGCTGCGACCACAAGTACGAGGCTCAAGAGCTCGCCGTGTACTGCGAAAACGAAGGTAATCCCGCGCAACACCACAGAACGCACTCACCTTCGGGGCTTTATTACACCGTGCGAAGGAAAAACGTCGTATCTGCATCCTGACGTTGCCAAATTTCCTTGGATTAAATGCGAATTTTCAGGGTGACTTGTATTTTTCTTTAATTTTCATTTTACGGAGGAATTAATATATGGACCGCGTTTAATAGAAAGGAACCAAGGCACGTCAGCTGTTGCTATATTTCACTGGAAAATTTAATTTTTTGCGAGAGAACGTTTAGGCGGATTACTTTGAAATGTGTGAGGAATTTGCTTCGTACCATGGAAAAAATTCACTGAAATTTGCTCGAAAATCCGCATACAATCGTTTCCATGTCAAAAATTAAAGTGCCCACTTGAATTTGGCAATAGCTGATGAGGCTTGGTTCCCCTCCGTTTAACGCGGTCCATATCGTCATTCGTCACCTTCTCGCCGAAGTATCACAAGCTCCATGCGACGTCTCAAAATTTCCGCCGCCATTTCATTTTTTACCGTGAAATTGTTCAACGAAGCTGTCCGAAAATGTCACTGAAATCTTTTGGCTGCCGATAAAATTAGGTGACAATTTTCAAACCGATTCAACCAGCAATTTCTCTGTAAAAAACTAAAATAACGGCGGGAATTTTGAAACATCGAATGGTGCCTGTGATACTTTGGCCAGAAGGTGACAATTTGTTCACACCGAAAAAAAAGAGGTGCTGTAGTAACATCCTGGGTGTTAAAAAAATTTGCGGCAACTCTTGGATGGTGTCATTACCACTTGGCTGTTAAAGTAACATCCTTTTACATCCTATCATGCTACGTTAACTGCCAGAGTGTTAATAGCGACATCCTAGAGTTGTCGCACATTTTTTTAACAACCGTATCATCCGGGATGTTATCATCACTTTTTTCGGTGCACTTTACCTCACAGTATATAACAAGTTGAGTATGATTACCTGTCAAGTGAAAATAAATACTTTATTCTGGGAAATTTGGCAACACTCAGATGCTCGTACGTCTATCTTCCTTTGCACGTCTGTTTATTACACCGTGCTTGCTTTTTTTTCATCGCACGCTCGTCCTATTGGACCGCTTGTTTTGCATGATAGCATGTTTATTGATTAACAACTATCCGCTGGCTTTCTCCTTCGTTAGATAGCTTGCAAGCCGTAGACTATCTATTTTGATTTTCTTGTATTTTTTGGTACCTGCACGTTATTTGGACGCATTTATGCAAAAAAAGTCTATCTGGATTGAAATTTTCGAAAAAAAGACATAATTCGCAATAGTTCATGACTATTAACATTTAATAAAAATTAACTTATACGGCACAAGGAGGATCAAAACGATGTGCCGTGGAGAGAGACGAGGAGAGTTCGCAAAAACCACTTAAAAAACGTCATCCATAACACTCAGTTACGAATTTTTAACTTCCTGCAGTTAGATCTCTTCTGCGTAATTTAATTCTTAAGACTCGAAACATTTTTCGAGGCGAGTATTGCATGGATTCTTTAGAGGAAGCCATTTGAAACGTCATTGCTTATCTGCGTACCGATGCATTTGCTTCCTCTGCAATTTTTGTCATTGCTCAAGCCTTTTATTAAAAAAAATTGTAGTTCTTGTTAAATTTTAAGTAAAAATTTAATTTTGTGCCAAAATTTTATAATTTGCTAGTGCCTAAAGAATTTCGTATCCGGTAATTTCGTATTTCAATGCCTATTTAAGTACTACCTTTCAAATTGGTCTGAGAAGTTGAATAGATTTCATGCATGTTCATCCATTAATGGCTTATCTAGTAAACTGTAAGTATATCGAGTCGAAACAATACTTGTCAACGTTAGTACCACCCACGAAAGTAATTAAGCTACCGATGAACATACGATATCAATGAAAAACTGAGTGATCTAAGCCCAACAGAGAAACAAAAATAATTTCAAAAACATAAATTATCCGAGTAAAAAAGTATATCCAAAATTGATAGCCAAATCATTTAAAAATTCTGAGAGGAAACAGACCCAGAAAAAGTGACGGCGATAAATGATGAAATGCGGCAACATAGTTTAACGCACTTAGTCTCATTACTTCATGTTCAAAGAGGTCACTGATGATTGTAAAGTCCCAGTATACTTTTCCCCTTTTTTGGCGCTCCTTGAAGTCATTCCTTTTAATCAGGGTGGCGCGTCCAGGCTAGGTGAATTTTTTTTCTTTCAATCTCCCTTTGAATCCATCCGTTTTCAATTTTATTGTCGATCTGTTTCAGTTGGAGACGAAAATGGTTCGATCGAGCAAAACACGTACGTGAATGTGGAGACCCTCGAGGAGGATTTCAGCGAAGAGGATTACGATGACTCTTTCGACTCGGACTCCTCTTTCGAAAGCGATCAGAAACTGCCCGAAAAGGTATCGTACCTATCCCATTATTTTCAACCTACTCACTCCTCTCCTCGGTCTTATAGGTCAGGGATATCTCGAATAAATTCTGCGCTCTATTCAAACACACTGGAAAAAAAAACACATTGGATCTAGAGTCCAGACTCTTGAAAACATTGACAAGAAAAAATACTCTTGATTCAATCGGATTTTTGCTTGAATCAAAACGAAATCCGCTTGAATTAAGGCTTGGTTCTTGATTTAAGCTAGATTCTGATTGAATCAAGAGTACTTTTTCTTGTCGACGTTTTTAAGAGTCTGGACTCTAGATCCAATGTGTTTTTTTCCCAGTGCATGGCGCCTGAATCACTAAAAACCTTCGGGATCGAAGCACAGTGGATCGAGTCAATTAGAGAGGTCGGACATCAAATTTTTGACCGAAACAGCAAATTTTGTTGTTTATTTCGTCACATTTCAAATTTTAAGGGAAGCTCCTAGAAGAAAATTTCACGGAGAAACCAGTGGAACTACTTTTAGAACCTCAGAAGTTTGTAGTAACGGAGTTATGAGCGTTTAAAGTTTCCGAATTTTGTCCGGCCTTTCCTAGTTTTGACTCGATCCACTGTGTGGTGAGATACTAAACTTTCATCCTGACTTTTTTTTTTTTTTTTTTGGTAGAAACAGCAAAAGACACAGCTGTTGATTATTCTTCTTCTAAAAATATAAAACATGAACGGAGACTTGCAACGTTGCAATCGCATGTACGCATTTTTTGACTGCATGTAGCCATTGATTTGTCGTGTGCCTTCCAATCTAGACAAAGCTGTGGCTCCCTTAAAGTTGTCATCTCAATTTTGGTTCGATATGAAAATATTGATGATTAAAGCACAAAAAAATCAAATTAGAAAATTTCTAGAGATAATGTTGATCATTTTTATCCCCATCAAATACAATTTGACGAAAAAATTACCAAGTATGCTGTAAGTCGAGGAGAGTTTTCTTTTCCTTTCTTTCTTTTTTTCAATTATTTTTGTTATCGTTTTACGTAGGCAAATGAATGGTATTCATTCTAGTGCCTCACTTAAGGAGTGCTAGATATTAAGGATTGTCAGGAAACTAAATGTAGTAGGCTGCTTTACTTTGATCGGACACATTCGACGAATGCAAAGTGAAGCAGACCAGAATGTCAACGTGTGACACCTGAAAGTGCATGGGAATGAAAGAAGGCGTCTTATCTACATCCATATGTCACTGCGTGGTTGTGAACATGTAAGGCCTACATATTTTACGTCGGAGGTAAAGTCTTTATCTTTCCGACTGAATTAGTTGAATACCGGCTCACAACCATCACCGAGCTGTGCTATGAAATTTAATATGCTCATGCAGAACGAAAGAGAAAATTAGAATATTGTAGCGCGCAATCTACACACGTAAACGCTGAGTTGATATTCTTGTGAAAGTTTTGAATTCTCTGTCTGGTGCGAACAAATACCTACAAAATTCTTTGAATTTTTCATTGGTGCGACTTCACGCCGTCTAGTGAAGGAATAAAGAAAAAGTAATTTCTGTACGCTCGGTCGCAGTAAAAGCTGAGTCTAATTATTTTTTGCTATTCTCGTCACAATATTGCAAATTTATTGGAAGCAAACAGTCTGTTGCAATTATATCGATTGCTCCACGGATTTACTTGTAGAATCTTTAATATGCTAGAGTATTGAAATTCTCAACAAGAAAAAAATCTCCAGCAATCTGAGAGTCTCACTGAACTGACAATGAGACAGACAATGAAACAATAAAACCTAAAATACCAATAGTTATTAAAAAGCATAAATTATACCCAACCTTCCGGATACTTCCAGTTTCCCGGCTTCACTACTAATTAAATGAGACACAATACCACACCCTGGTAAAATAAGAACATAAATCTCTGGATGGCCAAAAAACCAAAATAGATGCTGGTATAAGATAGGGTCACCCCAAAGGATCATAAAGGATCTAGACACGACAAGGATCTGTACAGACTGACCACATGATTCCTCATCAAAATTGAAAATCATACGCCAAACGTGTTAAACCAGGGTGTCTACAAGTCCGGAAATAGTACTGATTTTTCAAGGGCGGTCCGGAAGTACTGAAAAAGTGCGGAAATTCCGCAAGAAGGTCCGGATTTTTTTTTTTCATTTTTTGTCATTTTGGTCGCAATTCGAGCTAGAAATTCAAATCTTTAAAATTCTTCGAATTTCGTTGATTGAATGTACTGTAAAAGTACTGGATTTTTCTGTAAAGAAGGCACTAAATTTCTCGGGAATGTACTGAAAAAGTACTGATTTTTGGCCAGCCTATTTTAGTAGACACCCTGATGTTGTATGCATGTATGTATAAGCCGCTTTTACGGCACGCTAGGGCGCTCTGCGACGCCTACTCTCCACAGGAATCTGTCATGGTAGAGATCCTCCGGAAGTTGGTATCTCTCCATCTCTTCACGGATGCCTTCTACCCACCGTTTGGCTGGACGCCCTCTCCGTCGCCTACCTGGGGGGACCCACTCCAACACCTTCTTCGGCAACCTGGTATATCAGCCATTCTCTGCACATGCCCATATCATACCAATTGCTTGGTCATGATATCACCCTGATGTTGTTATCCTGTTATTTTTTACCATTCATTTTGTGGTTTGTTTCAGTTGCCGGAGCCACCGCACGCGACGCAGAACATCTACGGCCTGGTGAAGCAAGCCGGGAAGCGAATGCGGAAGCACTGGTCGCTGAGCTCGCTGGGGCTCAACCGAATCCGGAAGATGAGCATCGGCGCGGTGCCGTTCCCGCAGCCCCCGAAGGACCCGTACCCGCCCACCTCGGGCGCCACCACCAACGGGGCAGCCAACGGCAACGGCCTCAACCGCCGTCGCTGGTCCTCCTTCAAGAGCAAGTTCCGCAACCCCACGCACTCTACCTCAACCTTCTATCTCAACGATGAGCCCAGCGACGCCACCGCCCCGCCCCTCCCCCTCAGCCTGCCCCCCAGAAGCGAGGAGCTCCCCCTCCCCGCCGAAAGGCCCCCGCCGGACCCTCGTCGCCTCAGCACCGCCAGGCCCAGCTCCCCGCCGCCACCCCCTCCGCCCGTTAGACCGGCAAGAGGTAAGAGGTCAACCGGAGTTTCAATTTTTCACGAAAAATAAAATCTTGAAATTTCAACAGGGTGTCTAGCATCAGGAAAAACCGAAAAATATCAAGAATGTTGGCCCATCTCAAAAAAATCGGGAAAATATCAGGAAAATCTCGGGATTTTTCAAAATTAAAAAATACTAGACACCCTGTTCAAGGGACATTTTTCATTAAATTTCTGACAGATATGAAATAGCTTGAAAAATATTCTTTGAAATTAAATATACAAAGTTAAATGAAGGGCAAATAGTTTTTAATTGCTTATCGGCATTTTTTAGTGCGTGTTGCATACCCAGCCCCTGAAAGTAAGTTTCATATGTTCACGACTTTGTGATTTCCATAAAATATTTTTCGGAAATTTCCAATCTTTAAGATCTGCCATTTCATTTCACACAACCCCGCTTTCAACCCCTTCTTGAGTATTTTTTCTTGACAAACATGGTTAAAACAGGGACAAATGGTCATAAGGCCATTGGAACGTTTTGTCTGACCAAGTGACCACCCTCAAATTAACGTTTGTTGATTAATTGTGGATGAAAAATTACCAATTCGAGTCAATTTTTCATCCTAGATTTTCGACAAATTGGCGTCACGCGCCCATTCTCGCGTTACCAATGGCAGCCCAGCCCTGAACGTACCCGTAATGCAGGCCCACCTCAGAGCGTTACATATTTTATAATCAGCCCCTATCCATCATGTTTTGCAATTAAAGCACCTTCAAGTTCTAATTTTTTTCTGAAGCACCTGAATGGTTTTTTAAGTTTTTTAAAAACCTTATTTGTGACCAATCATTAACCTCTTTCTTTTTTTGCTCTAGGCGAAAAGTCTGCTACTAAGCTGCAGAACAATAAAACTGAGGCCAATAATCCATCTTGGTATGCAGAATTGAGTCTTTTTGATCCGTCAATGAAGCCTTTCTCTGGATTTTCTGAAAATAATCAGATTTATTCAAATATATACTCTGATTCAAAGCTATGGGATTCCTCAAACTCTAACAGCATTCATGATTCCATGTCTGACCAAGGTAAATAGTTTGTTTTTGATTGTTGATTTTACCATTTAACCCATTTGAAGAATGAAAACAACAAACTAGGACTCGGTGATTCACATACCCGTGAAAGGTGCAGGGCCGGATTTAGGAGGTAGCCACATAGGCCGCGGCCCATGGCGGCAAATTTAGGGGGCGGCAAATTTTGCATTTTTTTTTAAATGTAGCTGTAAAGAAAAATCGTATTCAGAAAAAAAATTCCAAACGAGAATAGGTGACAAAATCTCTCATTTTCTGAGAGGGTATCTCTAATTTTGTCGTCTTTCTGTGATACAATACACGGCACCTATAATTAGTCGAGTGAAGACTAAGAGAGAAACCGAATACGGAATTTGGCCTGGAACGGCGCGGCGCAGAGAGCAATGATGACGAGAACTTGAGATGAAAAGGAGAAACCCGCGACGCGGCGGTCGGCATTTAACACATATTAGCGCCTACAAGACTGCATGAATACTTCACGCGTTGCGTCATAAGAGAGGAATTACCAAAATAATCTGCGCATAATGGGCTTCTGATTTGATCGAACGTAAAAACTCAGCTTCCTGCAATTAAAATCTGACGGTGCAGCGGTCTCTACGGCCGTGCTGAGTAAGAACGCCGTATGAGTCATCAGGCGTTGCCTAAATTCCTTCGAAAAATCGCGAATTCCCATGAAAATTCGTGAATAGTTCTCCTCCAATTTTTCACTGGATATCGTTCTACTCAGGGCCGGATTAAGGGAGTGGCCACATGGGCCGCGGCCCATGGCGGCAAATCTAGGAGGCGGCAAATTTTGCAATTTTTTTAAATGTAGGTACAAAAAAAATCGGATTTAGAAAAAAATTACAAAAAAAAAAACAAAAACAAAATCTCTCATTTCCTGAGAGTGTAGTAATATCTAATTTTGTCGTCTTTCGGTGATACAAGAAACAGCACCTTTAATTAATCGAGTTAAGAGTGAGGCCAAACACGCAATTTGGCCAGGAACGGCGCGGCGGGACTGAGAGAGAAATGATGAGGAGGACTTGAGATGGAAAGGAGAAGCCCTCGGCGCGGCGGTCGGCATGTACCACTTATTAGCGCCTACAAGACTGTACGAATACTTCTCGCATCGCATCAAAAACAGTGCGGTCGCTGCGGTTAGCAGCGGGCGGCGCGCGGCGTGAAACGCACAGCGCCTGCAAAACTGCTTGAATACTTCACGCATTGCGTCTAACGGAGTGCGTACAGCAGCGGACGCATAGCGCATGCAAGACTATAGGAATACTTCACGCATTGCGCCAAACACAGTGCGGTCAGCGCGGCGCGGCGGCGGAAGTTAAAATAATTAAACCACATTTATGATTGTTTTTTCATAATTTTTTCGTTCATTTCATATACATGGAAGGCCTCGTCCACACAGAGATAGGTTTATGGAACTTAACTTTCGCGCCAAGTTCTGTGAACTTTTGCCAGTAGTGTTGACGGGCTTTTGCAAAAAATATGTCAAACACGAGTAAACGCGTCTTATGCACCCCTCCACCCATCCCCCTTCGGCACGTTCGTTATTGATTTTTCAAAACGAACGAGAAGGGGGCCGGCAAAATACAGGCGGCCCATGGGCGGGAAGTAAGTAAATCCGGCCCTGGAAAGATGAATTATTTGTGATTATTAGTATCAACCAACATTTATATGAAGTAATGTTAAAAGGAGAACAAGGTTAAATACACCTTATTTGACCACTAAAGGAAAATAAGAAGGTCTGATAACTGAATTAAGCCAAGGACTTGGAAGAAAATTAATACATTGATAAACTGTTTTTTAATGCATCCAGCCGTAGTCTAATCAAATTTGTTTCAATTTCTTATTGATATTTTAAGACGGTGGAGAATATTTTAATGGGTGTCTCAAATTGTAAAATCATTTCACTGACTGCACAATTTTTTTTATTTTTGCCAGCAAGCAGGGGGTGGAATAATCGGTCCAATGGTTTTGCTATGAGTTTTTTCCATACACTAAATATAATATGACGTACTTGCTCTAGTAACTTTTTACATCCTTTGTTTTTTGTATTTTCTTACCGGCATTGTTCTAATCGGCGTTTTTGTTGGTGTAGGATCAAGCCCAGGATCAGACCTGCACCTGAGATTCGCAGATGAGCCTCTGTATCAGTTTTACACTGCAGATATAGCTGAACTAGCCAGGCAAGGCTTGGATGATGATTTTGATGGTTACGAAGAAATTGGAACCTTAAGACCGACAGCTCTAGAACTTGCTCAACATCGCTCACTTTGGTGTGAACTACCTGAAGTTCAGGATTCAGGAATTTTAGGTATGTACTTAAAAACATGTCTATTCAAATCACCTACTTTCGTTGCTTTCTTACAGTTCTAATCTCTCATATCATAAAAATGGTAATCGAGGCTATCAAAATAAATTCCTTATGTGTCTTTTTTTCCTCCCAAAATCGATAGACATCTTTTATAATTTTACAAGGTCTAGAGCTACCATTCCCCTTAATATCTGATTCATATTAACAAGCCATCTTCCATCATTGACTCAATATTATTTATTCCTGAGATATGGTAGATGCTCTGCAGCCCATGACAAGATGCCGTGTTTTTTATTATTTATTCCTGTTCAATCCATGTTAATTAATTTTTTTCTCCCTTTCCAGGATCCCTAGAACCTGCTCAGAGGAAATTACAAGAAGCCAGATTTGAAGTTATACAGTCAGAGGCATCTTACTTCAAATCCTTGACTGTTCTGGACAAGCATTTTGTTCAGAGTCCACTCCTGAATGATGAAGCTGTGCTAACAAAGAATGAGCGCAGAATTCTTTTTGGGAATGTTGCAGCAGGTAAATTCACACTCAGCGCATATCAATTAATTGATAAGTGCTCGCTTCTCGGAAGTATATTCAGTTTTCAGGTTCAACTGCTTTACTTGCCAATAATGGTTGACAAGGGTCCCTCCAAAGAGATAGTGAAATATGCAAAACCGTCCTCCTTATTAAAAAGAAAGTGTCCCCAAAAATTCAGGTTTCGGCTTAAAATAAACATCTTGGAGATACATTAAGTTCCTCAAAAAATTAGGGTAAAAAATCGAATTCCTGTGAAAATAACAGGATTCTCTTTTTTTATGATCAACAAGTCTGCCTTTGCTCTCTTTTATTTTTGATACATAATTGTAACCCATATTTAAATCTGTCATCTTGATTTGTAAGGTTCCTGACTTCTTGTCATATTTTTGTTTTTTTAGCAGAAACCTATTCTATGCGTACATAGAGGGATTGTATTTTTCCTGAATTACCTACCAATCATTATATAAAATTGACCGACAGAGTACCTTTTTGTATGTCCTTGTGTTTATCTTTCTTTTGTGGAATATTGGATAATACCTAAGGTATTTTATGAGAAAATTTTAAAAAAAGTTTTTAAAGAAAAACCACTGCTGAGTAAGGTATCGCAGCTAAGTTACTTTATCATTTCAAGTGATCGCAAATATTTCTCTTTTATGTTACAGTGCGAAAATGTTCAGAAAAGCTCTTAGCATCATTGGAAAACTGCTGGCAAGAAAGTATTATGATGAATGGGGTTTGTGATGCTGTATTGCATCATGCGAATAAAAACTTCAGTATTTACATAAAATATTGCTCAAATCAAGTTTACTTAGATCGTACTTTAAAAAATTTGAAGTAAGTGTCTCTATCACTTTTGTTCTGTCTTTTCTTAATTACCTAGTAATCCAAGAAGTTTTCCTCGCTACCTCTTTTTCTTGTCGTCAATATGTTTTCACAATCGAAAAGCAGCAAAATTTCTTATCTTAGTGTTCACAAACTTATGGTCCTCAATGGTCATTTTTTGAAGAAATACCAATAATAATGGTCTTCTCAGTAGAAAACTCATCTAAGAGTTTTCACTCATGATCAGAAAATAAATTAGAAAAATAACAATTAACTGAATAAGTACTAAAACTTTTCAAAATATGTCACAACACAAAGTAAGAAATTTAAAACAGCATGAAGCTTAAGTATTTCAATGACAAAAACGATTTTTAAAGATTTTTAAAATTTATAATAAAATTGTGAAAAAGAAAATTAAAAAGTCCATACCCTTCTTTTTTTAAATAAAAACATTCAAAGAACATTTTGAACTTTGTCTTATCAATGTAAGTTATTGGCTCAAACATGTTTCTCCTTAGAAAAGTTTGAAAAAAAATCCTTATCTAAAACTTCAACCAAAGAAGAAACACATTTAAACAATACTCATTTTTAAAAATGAATGTGTGGTTGCTAGAATTTTTTTTCCTTCGCGATAAATCAGTCATGCTCTTTTATTTATTAAGTTTTATGGAACTCATTTTAAATGGTTTATCTTCTTACAGGGAACGTAATTCTAGATTTAATGAAGCTCTCAGTCAGATAGAAAGTGATCCGATTTGTCAATCGTTGAGTCTACACTCTTTCCTCATGTTACCAATGCAGCGAATAACGCGCTTACCTCTTCTAATAGACGCAATACTATCTCGAATAGAATCAGACGATGAAGAATTTCAGACTGTTCAAATCACCTTAGCAACTTTAAATAAGGTAAGCAATTAAGCATCCATTGTTTTTGATTCCAGAGCGCATCTCTGAATATCCCAAATAATGCTCTTTACCTTTTTTGAGTCTAGTCATTTTTTCCTCCAGACATAAATATTCTCATTTTACCTTGTTAGCTCATGCCCATGAAAATTACGGTAAGACGAGTGAAAATGAGTTTTTACTTTCAATGTATGAGATGTGAATGTAGAAAGTAAATGATAAAAACCATCCTCAGAAAAAAATTTCTTTGAAAAGTATCTGTAATAAGTTTAAAGCATGGAGCTTGATTCTTAGGTTTTTTACTTTTGAATAAATAGGTATGTATGTTTTTTAAGAAAAAATGATGCCTTGACCAAGTTTACAATGCCCTTAATAAGTTGAAATAAATGAATCAAGCTTCAAAATACTCAATTTATTCAATTTTGAAGTAGAAGGTCTTCCTCTTTTGAAATTTTTTAAACTTTTTCTAATTTTTCCTATCCATCTTTTTCATGCCAGATCGTAGAGGAGTGTAATGAAGGTGCTCGAAAGTTTGAGCGTTATGAAGAAATGTTACTCTTAAGTCGGCAGCTGGATTTCTCAAGAAAAGACATGAAAGCCCTCCCTGTCGTATCCAGTTCACGGTGGCTTGTCCGGTCTGGTCATATGATGCATATCAACGTGGAATCAAAAACTACTTTTAGCCGGAAACTCAATCGGCATGTGAAACTTCATCTGTTCCTTTTCACCGATCTTCTTGTTATCACCAAGAAGAAAAGGTGAGCAATTATATTCAACTGTGAATAATTCAGTGATGAATAATTCATTTTCATTTCATTGGAATTGCACTGTTTGAAACAAGTGTAATCTACTGTTACTTGTTGTTTTGAGAAAACTGCAAAAACTCTACAGGCCTTTTAGTTACTAGATTAAAAAGTGTTTAAAGGCTGATTATAACAGAAGTAAATTGTCAAAAAGGATCCATAAACGTTTCTATCTCCTCTACTAGCTCGAATAGAGAAATTCAAACAAAAGTTACTGAACAGTATCTGTTGTTGCATGACATATGAAAATCTCGAAGTTACGTGCAAAGTTATTTGATATCTTCGAAATTCCTGAAAAGACTAAAATACTGCAATATTTTCTAAGAAAGTTGAAAAATTAAAACTCATGGATGTACCTGGTGTAAATTGGATATTAGCAGTTTTCGTACTATTTGTGCACAGTCAGATCTGAATAATCAATAATGAATCAAAAGTTACGTAGGGACTGTTCATATCAACCTATCAAAGAATGAAAACTTGCCAAAATTTTCATAAGTTCTTGTTGCTGTTTGTCCAAAAAATGTTTGAATAGTGAGATTTGTATAATGAGAACACTTGTAACACTCTTAATTGTTGATGGCATTGTATTCACCTTCCGTGACTCAATATCATTCTCTGTGCTTTATTTCAGCGAGGAGAATTATTCTGTGATTGATTACTGCGCTCGAAATCTGATCCAGATGACTGAGTTAAAAGATCCTCTCGTGCCTTCCTCAAAATTTTTAATCATGCTCACCATGCTCGAGAACCATGAAGGCAAGACTATAGAAATGGTAAGATACTCTTAAAATCTCAAATTTTACCCATGATCCACTTTATTTGTAATATTTCTGTTTAAAAACTTCAGAAGGAGGTTCGGATGACCTTTTACGGCCCAATTAGTAGGGGTGAACAAGTTAGTTATTAACCATACTCAATCAATTCATTGCTACGAAATGTATTTTAATTGTAATTATCTTCTCCTCACAAACATGCCATAAAAGAGCAATTTTTACCCCAAATGAACATTTTACTTAGGTAAGTAGTACATACATTTCAAAATTTTCGTACATTACCTAGCTGAGGTTACATAGCTTGGTTATCTAAGCAAATTGAGGGAATAGTGGCTTGGAAACAAGAGTCTTTGGATGGTGGAGTTCATCTGAAAAATATAGGCGAGTGAACACGTTTTGATCTTTCCAAATGTACATATTTAAACAGCGTATACCTCGGCCAGAGAAATATTAGCACAAATTTCTTGAAAAACACACATTACCTAACGGACACAGGATAAGCTAAGAGCAACAGAGATGGATTTTTGGAGGAGGTCAACAGGACTTTCTAGGAGAGATGATCGGGTCCGTTATGATAGAGTGTGTCAGATAATGGAAGTCGAAAATGACATCGTGTTCGACGTTATGATCAAACCGCTTGTCTGGTACAGTCATGTCAATAGGATGACTGAAGAGAGGCTGTCAAAAAAGATGCTTAATTGGGTTCCTCTGCAAACCATGATACCTACCTGGTTTTCCAATTTCACAATTGGAATAGATGAAATTCTATGATATATTGGTACTGTTAAGTTCTTTATTTATTTTTTTAATTTTCATGGGCCTATTTTATGTTTCAGGTTCTTGCTTGTGATAGTGAATCTTCTCGTCAGCGGTGGCTGGAAGCTCTTTCTAGTCCTCAATCCTCGAATCCTGAGGAAACCCTTTACGAACAGTGGGATTGTCCTCAAGTAGTTGCCACTCATGATTATGCTGCCGATCAGCCGGATGAGTTGTCGCTCCAAAGTGGAGACATTGTCAACGTTTGCCGAAAAACGGCCGATGGTAAGAATTTTATCATATAGGTGCACTTTTTCCTTTCCCATAGCTTAAGATCAAAGAAGAGAGTGATGCAAAAAATCCTAATACAAGGGTGTGTATTTGTCTCTATGAAGAAAAATAACTTTTCAAATCCATCCGCTTGCAGTGCCTTCAAATATAGGTGTCTTGATTTTCTGGACTGTACCTAGTAGGTGAGGCGTTTGGTACATGTTACAGACATTCATTTCTCCATTTTTTTCTACTAGTGGTGCAGAAAAAGAAATTGCCAGTTATATTACTGACGGAATTTTTGCCTTAAAAATTGTAAAGTCTCATCAGTGGATTGGACTGAACTTGGACGTATTTTTTCAGGCGACACCAAGATGTCACCTTCCTCCAAGCAGCTGCGTCCTATGAAATGATCAAGAATTATAAGACAGAAAAAACAGCTTTAAAAATCCGATTCCTTAGCTCAGAATGTGGTGAGATAAATGTTTACAATGCCCTGTGTGGGAGAAGTGCCTTTCCTAGTTGCAGTATTTCAGAATCCCCTCTAATAATTCAATTTCTGTTAGGAAAGTGAACCCATGCATTTAATTAAAATTTTTACTGAATCTTTTATTATCCTGCAATATGTTTTCAGTCAGAAAAAATTCTGGAAAAATCAATTCGTGATTTTTCCTGATGAGTAAAATTCTTTTCGACTGTGTCCAAGACATGAATTAGCAGGGATGAGAGTCCAATCAAAACACTGCAACCGAGAAGAGCCCGACTCGTACCTAGTGCTTCTATATTGAATCTGTGGGCAAGTGCAGGTCTCAAACTCACTGTAAAATATATTTTCTTTTTAATTCGAAGGAAAGCACAATGGAAAGCATGTGTTCGAATTCTTATGTTCCCTTGAAAATGTTCAATTTAATTTTTTCTTTTTCAGGATGGTACCATGGCGAAAGAATTCGTGATGGGGAGAAAGGATGGTTCCCAGCAAATCACACCTCAGAGATAGTGTCAGCCCACACTCGGGCAAGGAATTTGAAAGTTCGCTATCGACTGCTAGCATTATCTGGGAATTATTTACAATCCATGCAACGGAAAAAGACCTAGTAAAACGCCAAAACTTTTTCTTTGTTTTTGTTTCTTTTTTCAAATGTTTAGTCTACTCTTTTTAAGACAAAATGAAGATTAAATTATTGTTATGTTTAATTTGTGATACTGTGATTTAAGTTTTATATAAGAAACTTATAAAATGTTTAAATTATAAACCTTCTGTTCAAGTCATTTTGTATTTAAATTTGAAGTTATTTTTATATGTTCTTTTTGCAGTCTCTAGTATGGCTTTTGTGGTGAGACAACAATCAGACTAAGCTACAGGGTGTGTGATGGTCTCTCTTTCAAACTTGCTTTTCTATTTCCTTTGAAAATATTTTAAAAAGGGGGAAAAAACCCCTCTGATAATTTTCAGTTGATTAATGAAGGATCCACTCACAAAAAAACATGGTTTGTACAGCCTTGAAAAATTCACTGCTTGATTTCAAAAGTTTTTTTTTTTTCAAGGCCTTGAAAGTGCTTGGTTTTTTTTAAAACACCTGTAATGTACTTGGATTTTTGTGGGATTAGAAGTTAGCTGATTAGATTGAAGAGAATATCAAGAACACATGTTTGTGCCATAATGTTCAACTGCATACAATGAACTTTTATAAAGAAGTACCTACCCAGTAAGTAGTAAAAATTCCACAGAACAAACAAATCCATTCCATATTTTATTCATTCCTTCCGGTAATAAAAGGAACATTCATACCGAAAGTGCGATTATTTGGATTATGTGTTTCCTGACAGCTTTAAGTCAATATATTACACTTTCAATTTTTTTAATTCATTTTTTTCATTTTTGCATCTTGAATAGCATTTTAAATTTCAAGCCTTTTTTAATAAACACTGTAATGAATAGAAATAATAATTGTAAATTCTTTGTAAAGTATCATGTGTCAACTCTAGCATTCTTTCTTTGAATTTAAAGAATAACAGATGGGTATTCATTGTTAACACTCTGGAGTTTTCTTTTATCATTTCAAATTAAGTATTGAACTCAACCTGTGAAGTATCCTTTATCCATACGTGGGTGAGTTCAAATAAGCGTCTAATTTGGTGTCCCGAGCTGTTTTAATCGTCATAATCTGAGAAACATGGGCAGATCACATTTTTTTCTCATTTTCCACACTATTGTTGACTATTACATGCTATTTCCCACTTTATTTGGACTGAAATAAAAATTTAAGAGAACTTTGAATGTTCAAATTGCCTACATTTGTCCCAAATTTGCGTGTCCCCCATGCCTGGTTCTTGACTTTAAATCGATGTCGCAGCATAACTAGAGTGATTATTTAAGAAAACTTTATCGGAGATGATAGGTAATGCTTTTGAATTTGAGAAAAAAAATATGTAAATTTATTTTTTGCTCCATCAATAACTTTTTCACGCGCTAGAATCATTGTCCCGAGCAAGAGTCAGCAACAGTCAGGAGAGAGATGGCAACGATGTAGTAAGCTCTAAATGATTGCCGTAACGTTGAGGTTTTTCCAAAAACGACTTTTTTTGTTTTGATTGAATAGTTCACACGTCGTAGATGGCAAAAATTCTGAAATTCGCAAATTTTTGTGCAAGATTAACGCCATTAATGATGCCAAACAGAATGCTATACACGATAACTGACGGGGCGTCAAGCACACACACACACACTAATATCAGCTCGTAAAATACTTTTGAAGTTTGCGTTAGGGAAAATTTTCTCTTATTCCGATCCTCTAGGACGTGCTACTAAATATTCCGTGAAAAAAAACACCAAAATTGTCTTTACTGTTAGAGATAAGCTTAAAAAACAGCTT